AGTTTTCCGGTTTTTATTGGCGCTTTTCGCTTTTTCTACAGTTACATATAAGGAAACTTTTCATGTCCTAAGATAACCTTTCATTAATCATGAATTTACATTGAGGTAATACATTTTTAATATATTTTAACGTAATTAATTTATAGAAATATTATGTTTTATGTGTTTATTTGTTTGTAGTTAAGCACAAAGCTGCACAATGGGCTATTTGTACTGTGCCAACTACGGATATTTAAACCCGATTTCTAACGTTATAAGTCCGCAGACTTATCGCTGTGGGGTGCTGTTTTATGTGTGTATATTTTCATAGTTGTGTATTTTATTTTTGTTATTTATTTTCTGTTAAAAGTTGTATTTGGAAGTGTGTTTTTTTTAAAGATTCTTAGGAGTAGCCTTTGAAGTCACGATACTGGTTAAACGTAAACCAAGTAATTTCATAAGAAGCCAGGAAATAATAAAGAACATAAAAAAAGCATTCAGAGAACAGTTCGAGTGTGTTCTTGTTGTATTATATTTGTACACATATATATGTATATGAAATAAAATACATTATAGAAGATAAAGCCACTAGAAACTAGTATGAGACGTTTATATGTATGAGAACATAGATCCATTGATAAACATAAATCAACGGTGGTTATATCCTTTCGCCTGCCTACATATGCAGCTCATATATTAAAGTGTCTTAATTGTAGATCAAATCTTCCTGGAGTATTTTTCAATTTCAATTCCGGATTGTTGGTTATCGAACTTTCTCAACTCTCCAGCATCACAACATTCGCAAGTCAGTCCGTTATCATCTCCTCGAGCTATTTACATAGCGTGAAACTAAAAGAACTTCCCAACAGTAATGATCTATTAAACATTTCCATAAATTTGTCGTAGTAAAGATACAAAAAGTACCTTGTTGAGTGAATCAATACAACATATCTTTGTTTACTGACTCATTACAATACAACCTTGCTGAGTGAATGAATACAATATATCTTTGTTGGTTCATTCATTACAATATAAACTTGTTGAGTGAATCAATACAATATATCTTTGTTGACTGACTTATTACAATATAACTTTGTTGAGTAAATCAATACAATATATCTTTGTTGACTGACTCATTACAATATAACTTTGTTGAGTGAATCAATACAATATATCTTTGTTGACTGACTCATTACAATATAACTTTGTTGAGTGAATCAATACAATATACCTTTGTTGACTGACTCATTACAATATAACCTAGTTGAAAGACTCAGTACATTATAGCCTAGTTGAGTGAATGAATACAATGTAACCTAGTTGAAAGACTCGGTACACTATAACCTTGTTAAGTGAATCAATACAATATAACCCTGTTGAATGAGTCAGTACAATATAATCTAGCAAAGTGAATCAATACAATATAACCTGGTTGAGTGACTCAGTACAATATAAACTTGTTGAATGAATCAATACAATATAACCTTGTTGAGTGAATCAATACAATATACCTTTGTTGACTGACTCAGTACAATATAAACTTGTTGAGTGAATCAATACAATATACCTTTGTTGACTGACTCATTAGAATATAACTTTGTTGACTGACTCAGTACAATATATCTTTGTTGACTGACTCAGTAAAATATAACCTTGTTGAGTCATTCAATATAATAAAACTTTCTTTAGTGAATCAATACAATATATTTTTGTTGACTGACTCATTAGAATATCACCTTGACGAGTGAATCAATACAATATATCTTTGTGGACTGACTCAATACAATATAACCTAGTTGAAAGACTCATTACAATATAACCTAGCTGAGTGAATCAATACAATATAACCTGGTTGAGTGACTCGGTACAATATAATCGGGTTGAGTAACTCATCACCAATATAACTTTGTTGAATGAATCAGTAAAAATATCCAGTTGAGTACGCTGTATAAAATTTAACTTCTATAATCCATATTTTAGAACGTAGATGTCATCCAGTGCAGATCAGAAAAGAGGAATCAACTTTGATGTATGAGATAAAAGGAACGTGAGAGAGCAATTGACAAGAGTTCGTTTCCTTTTATAATTGTCTAGATTTCATGAAGTTTAAAGGTACAGTATTATAATTATCTAGGTTTCACGAAGTTTAAAGGTACAGTATTACAAGCACACGTGATGAAATTGATAAAAAATGAATCAGAAAAAACATATCGTTTTAAATCATATTTTGCAATAAAACTAAAATCTCAAATAAGTCGTCGTAGACAAAAACAATTTCTTTAATGGCATTTTCAAATGATTTGATTTCATTAATTCTTACAAATCTTTTAGCTTTAATGATTGTCAATTCGTCAATCGTAGAAACATCACAATTTTTTTTTTAATGAATACCCTGAAACATATATCCTAGGAACACAATTTCATTGTTCATAGATGGAAAGAAAAATCACAGTGATAATTTACTCATTCCTATTAATAACGCAAGGCGTGAATCTAACTTTACGTGTAAAATAAACAATATTTCTAGCCTTTGAATGTTGGTAAAACGGGAAGACCTGCCATATGGAACAACAATGAATTGTAAACAAAACTTGGATATGTTGTACTTACATCAACTCTGACGCCACTAAGCGGAAGAAACTGTCCAGGAGGCCAGTCATTCGGAACGAAACGGTAGAATTCAACATCGTCCTTGTACCATTTTACCGAGTACAAAGTGTCTCCATTTAGGTCAAAGCTGCATGTAAGTTCTACTTCCTGTCCCACTACCGTTGGCGACGGAACGTCTAACATTACCAGTCGTAAAGGGGTGGTCAAGGAGATAGCTAAGGGATAAAAATGCATAAGTGTTTAGCGACCATATTAGGCTTACAAAGTTTAATTGTTCTCCATAGTCATTCTTAGTCAGTTAGAAGATTTGTTTGTTTGTTGGTATTGAGCACAAAACTATTCAAAGGACTATCTGTACGCTTCACACAGCGGACATCAAAATTCGCGTTCTGGCATTATAAGCCCACAGAAATACCGCTGGGGGGGGGGGGGTCTAGCTAGATGAAGAGAAAATACAATGCTATTGTTAAATGTAACTGGTTGTGTAGACAAATTAATACAATAAGGAAAAAAGAAGGCTTGTTTGAGTGTTAGAATAAAACTTTTTCAAATTGTTCTGCCCCTTGCCCTAAGTCTTACCGCTGAATCACTTATAACGCTAAAAATCGAGTTTTGATACCTACAGTGGGCAGATCACAGATGGTCAATGGTATGGCTTTGGGCCTAACAACAAACAATCAATCAAATATTTCCAGTTATATAGCGCCCTCGACCGGACGATAAAATATGTAATTAAACTGCATATATTTCATTACTTAACATTAAATATTGCCAACTATATAGCGCCCTCAACCGGAAGCTAAAATAAAAAATTAAATTGCATATATTTTATTACATAACATTAAATATTTCTAATCATCTAAGATAATCATCCAAAAAAAAAGACAAATGATTATTTTGTTGTATTAATGATTCCCTAATCATATAGCACAATGTCTCTAATTTATTTATGTATCAACTGCTACTTAACTGCTAGAAACCGGGTTTCGATACCCGTGATAGGCAGCGCACAGATAGCCCTTTGTGTACCCGAGAAAGTTCGAGTAGATTAAGTAGATTAGAAGTAAGATAAAAGTTTACAGCTGATTAGTAGAAATATTGATAAATATATGAAAACCTTTAGCAAAATTTTACCAAACTAGATAACTATTGTAATCCTTATTAAACCTTAAAGAACTATAAGGATAAGCAGAAGTGTAGAAACTGAGTAAATTACTAATATTACAATAACGCCAAATGTTCAGAATGTTAATAAGATGTATGTGTAAGGTTAATATATATCATTTGTTTTCTTCTATTCACGTTAACGTTTATCCGTTTTTTTTAAGCTGATGACAAATGGATGAATGAGGATGAGGAAGTTGTAAAAGAGATATTCTATGTTCGAAACATTCGAACTTACATTATGTATCAAAACAGTTAAAACTTTATAACAATGTTATCTTTAGATCACTTGTTTTCTAGACATATGTCACAATCACTTACTTTCAAAGAAATCCTTCGCAAGTTTTCGTTTCCAATTCTACAAATAAAGTGTAGGAAAATAACAGAGTGAACGTAACTTAGGTATTACCCTTTCGTCAGATATCATATCTTGAACAAATCGGTGGGTCGAACTTTAAAATTTCGTTACACAGCCTAACACTTTAACTGCTAATCTCACACCGACACTCTAAGTGCTAATCTCACACCTACACTCTCAATTCTTTACAAGCGCTCTTACGTTTGTTTGTAATTAAACACAAAGATCCAGAACGGGTTATTTGTGTTGTGCTCACCACGGGTATCGAAACCCGGTTTTTGCCGTTATAAGCATGCACACTAGCCGCTGAGCCACTGAGAGCGGGGCATAATTTTATATGTTATATGGAAACTAACACTTAAAATCCATTATGAACTAAACGGATTGGAGAAATTTAACAACACGAGATTATATTTAATTTACTTTCTATTCATTATCCACAATTTAAAATAAATTATTTTATAATCTTTCTTGGTGGGAAAACCCACATCTAAACGATTCACAAAAAATGAATGTTTAAAAAAATGACTGAAAGAATTCTCTTGAGTTATTGGTACATCATTTGATAAGTATAGTAAACACATTCCCTCAGTATGGTTATATGTGAATTATTGAAATATAGTCACGCATTCCAGCCATTACCTTCTTTTGCTTTAAATAAAGAAATTACAGCTCTTCACAAAAAAAACTTGAAGGTTTGAGAGCCTTTTAATATAAACTTGAATCAATTGTAAGAACATGGCAAGGATTCACTTGGAAATGTGAAAATCTTACAGAAATCAGGAATGCAAGAAATTCACAGAAACCATGCGTGAACTAAAAATCATCTTTTATGTTTTTACAGCTTAGATTCCATGAATATGGTATACACGAACTGCAGCGAGAGTGATTATTATTGTTTTGTTTGATGTATACTCTCCAACACAGGAATGTTAAACATTGATCACAAATCGTATGTGACTTCAAACTAATGGCTGAACGTGAGCACGTAAGTAATCAATTACTCTGTAGTTATTTTCGGAGAAGGTGTAATTGTGAGGGCCAAATAACACATGCTGGGCATGGGTTTTGAAAATTCTAATTGGTAACAAAACATATTAAACTGACATGGAAGAACTTTTTTTATCGAGTAAAAGAATTGTACTCCTTGCCGGAAATGTCAATCAGAAACAACTCTGGTTTTAAAGTGACGTTTTGGAATAGTCCAGCCAAAGCTCGTATCTTATCCCTGTCTGAGGCCACCTAAAGGGGCTAATTCGTACAACTATAACACAGCCTTTTTCAACTAACGGACTAATCTTTAACTATGAAAATAAATTGCACCAGGCGCTTTTTTGGACAGAATAATTCGAGTTATTCAGGCCAAAGATGGGCAGCGCCGTACTAGGACAGTATTACCATTATTTTAAGTTTGTATATTCGAATACTTTTTTAGAGGGTTGTGTTTATTATTTTTTATTAGATTCTTTGTTTGAAGTTAAGCACAAAGCTACACAATGGGCAATCTGTGCTCTGCCCACCACGGGTATCGAAACGCGGTTTCTAGCGTTGTGAGTCCGCAGACATATTGCTGTGCCATTCTTATTAGAACCCTCTTAATGTATTTTAGCATTTCATGAGATACTTGGCACAAAACTTCATTTCCTCAATATTTTTCTAACATTTTCAAATATTACACAATCGTTCCAAATGTAACTAGACTCGAGAAAGTCCCTGATTTATTAGACTCTTAGCTTTGTACAATGGGCTATCTGTGCTCTGCCCACCACGGGTATCGAAACGCGGTTTCTAGCGTTGTGAGTCCGCAGACATATTGCTGTGCCATTCTTATTAGAACCCTCTTAATGTATTTTAGCATTTCATGAGATACTTGGCACAAAACTTAGTCTGGATTTATTAGACTCTTAGCTTTGTATAGTTTTAAAATCATGACCATGTAGGGAAATACCTCGGGAAACACGTGGTATAAAAACTAGAACTAATTCGAAAAGACAGCGGTTGAGCGAACCACGTGGTTCTAGGAAATCGATTGTGTATCCAATCCTTTTTTTTTCTGTATTTTTGCTTTGGCTTGATTCGCATAGGAAAATAATTCATCATCGCATTTTCTTGAAGAAAATAATAATATCTAATTTTTAGTAACGCAAAAGCTGGGGATCTATTCAATCAAAAACGTTCTTTCCTTCCTTCCTTTTTTGTTTTTTACAGCTGAAGGCCTGTTTCGTCATCAAAAAAGATTTCAGCTTTGCGAAAGTTTGTTAAAAATAACGTCAGGTGGTTTGTATTTTTGATATTATGTAAAGCTATTGTAAAATAAATATATTTTTGTAATTAAAACTAGGGGTGCTATTTCTCCCAATCTCTAATCTACTCTACTTGATAGACTTTTTACCATCACAGGTAAAAGAAACAATCTTTAACTTTAACGTGCTATCTAAAAAGTCCTTCGGTGGCTCAGCGATAATTCTGAGGGATTAAAATACTAAACACCGGGTTTTGATACCTGGGGTTGATATGGCCTATTCCGTAGCTTTATGCTTACTTACAACCAAAGTAAGCTATCTAAGTAATAATAATGAATTATAACCCTATTAATACATTTAAATCCTGTTTAAAATATTTTACAACAACGATATAAACATTATTAAGAATGCATTAAAATAAGTGAAAAATGGAAATTATATATGCATACATAGAAAACACAAACTCTTTAAGTTAGGCTTTATTAAGACTCTCTTAGACATATTACAAACTCTCTAACATAGGCTTTAATAGGACCCCATACACAAAGTCTCTAATGTATGCTTTATTACAAACCCCTTACTAAAACTTTCTAAGGTAGGCTTTATTAAGATCCCCTTACGCATATCAAATTATCTATGTTGGCATTATTACAGCCCCTTATTTTAGAATAAGTTAGTAGTTTAAGATTAAAAACACTAGCTGTAACTTAAATGAGACTTTAAAGATCTCTCTAGTTATCTACTGGACCAGCACCCTGCTACTTCTTCCTTTTTAACAAAGTAGGGTTTCATATGTACAAGAGTGTCTTAACAGAATAAGATTTTTTATGTACAAGAGTGCCTTAACAAAGTAGGGTTTACTATATACTAGGGTACCTTAGCAAAGAAAAGTTTCCTATTTACAAGAATGCCTTAAGAAAGTAGGATTTCACATGTACAAGAGTGTCTTAACAAAGTAGGGGTTCCAATATACAAGAGTGCATTAACAAAGTAGGGTTTACTATATACTAGGGTACCTTAGCAAAGAAAGGTTTCCTATTTACAAGAATGCCTTAAGAAAGTAGGATTTCACATGTACAAGAGTGTCTTAACAAAGTAGGGTTCCAATATACAAGAGTGCCTTAACAAAGTAGGGTTTACTATATACTAGGGTACCTTAGCAAAGAAAGGTTTCCTATTTACAAGAATGCCTTAAGAAAGTAGGATTTCACATGTACAAGAGTGTCTTAACAAAGTAGGGGTTCCAATATACAAGAGTGCCTTAACAAAGTAGGGGGTTCCAAAATACAAGAGTACTCACTGACTCATTTCACTGGTACTGATTTGCCATTTCATGTTTGCATTGTTTATTTTCCTCTTCTTCCTCTCTTTACTATTTACGTATTCACAGTTCAATTGGAGTCTACGTTTTGGATCAAAACCAAAAGTAATCAAATTCTCTATACTAAGA